CTCTATGATGCCTAATAAAAACAGTGTCGCTATGAAGGAGCCTTGACGGCTTAGTAGGTTATGTGTTCTGCTGCCATGAGTTCTAACCCATCAGCCATCCAGAGGGAGAAAGCTGAGGCTGTCTACTTCATTAAAGACTTACCTCAGAAACACTAGAGAGCAGTTCTGTTCCTGTAGTCATGAGGAGTTCGAATCAACCAGAGCAGTGGTTTTGACTTTTTTATTTACCAACTACTCATTTGAGAACCTATGTATCAAGCCATGCCTGTAATGCCTGGCTTTCAAGGAGAGCAAACACGTAAAACTAAAATGAAAACACTGGAGGTTTATTAAAATTGATGAATACAGGTAGTAACTGCTACAGAAGTTCAAAAGCAGATGGATGGGCCTCACCTGATTTAAGACTTGTTCTTAGTGGCACCCAGTCGGTTCTGACCCATAGGGATCCGATGAATAGCAGAAACACGGCACAATCCTGTGCCATCCTGACAATGGTTCCTATGCGTGAGTCCATGGTTGCAGCCACTGTGTCAACCAGCTTTGTCACCGCCCTTCTAAGTAGTGTCTTTCTCCAGAGACTGGAGTCTAAAGTATGTAAGATGAAATCTTGCCACCCTTGCCTCAAAGGGACAGATTTGTTTGTCCTTTCAGAAATCAATAGTACTTTTTGCTCAAATGTACCTATTCTTCTTCCATCCTCCTTACTCAATGTCCAGCTTTCCCATGCCTATGAAGCAATGGAAAATACCAAGGCTTGGTCCAGATGCACCTGAGTCCTCAAAGTAATGCCCTTGTTTTCAATACGCTGAAGAGGTCTTGGGCAGATTTACCCAACGCAATGCATCTTTTGACCTCGACTACTCCTTCCATGGCCACTGACTGTGGATCCACACAAGACAAGATCCTAGACCACTTCATCCTCTTCTCCATTTATCATGTTATGTACTGGTCCAATTAGGAGGATTTGGGTCTTTACATTGAGTTGCAATCCATACTAAATGCTGCAATCCTTGACCTTTATCAGCAAGTGCTTCAAGTCCTCCTCACTTTCAGTAAGGTGTGTCAGCTTCCTACAATCCTGAAGCCACATTCTTCATTTAAGCCAGCTTCTCTGATAAATTTGGTCAGCATACAGATTGAATTAAAATGGTGAAAGGTTACAACCCTGATGCACATCTTTCCTGATTTTAAACCAAGCAGTGTTCCCTTGGCCTGTCCACACAGCTGCCTCTTGATCCATGTCCAAGTTCTGCATGAGCAAAATGAAGTGTTCTAGAATTCCCATTCTTCTCAAGGTTATCCATGTTTATTATGGTCCACGTGATCAAATGCCTTAGTATAGTAAATAAAACACAAGTAAACATCTTCCTGGTATTCTTTGCTTTGAGTCAAGATCCAGCTGACCGCAGCAATACTATTTCTTGTTCCATGTCCTTTTCTGGAACAAGACCAGAACTCTGGAAGCTCCTTATCAATGTACTGCTACAACAATTGTTGGATCGTCAAAGAAATTTTTGCTTGCCTAGGATAAAAAATGATATTGCTCTACAGTATGAGTATGCTGTTGGTTTATTTTCTTTGGAATGGGCATGTGGATTTCCTTTGTCAGTTGGCCAAGCAGTTGTCTTCCAAATGTCCTGGCATAGACAAGTAAGTGCTTCCAGTGCTTCATCAGCCTGTTGAAACATTTCGAATGGAGCCTTGTTTTTGGATAATCCTTTCAATGCAGCTTGAACTTTTTCCTTCAGCACCATTGGTTCTTGCTCATGTGTTATCTCCTGAAATGTTGAAAATTTAACTAGTTCTTTTTGGTACAATGATTTGGTGTTCTTCCCATCTTGTTTGGATGTTTCCTCCATCATTCAATATTTTGCCCATAGAATCTTTCAATATTGCAATTCAAGGCTTAAATGTTTCCTTGATTTCTCAGCTTCAAATATGCTGTGTTCTTACCTTTTGGTTTTCTAAGTGTTTGCACATTTCATATTTGGCTTTGTCTTCTTCAGCTGCCCTTTGAAATTTTTTATTCAGCTCTTTGACTTCATCCTTTCTTCCATTTGGTTTAGCTACTCTACAATGTAGAGCAAGTTTCAAAGTCTCTTCTGACATCCACTTTGATCTTTTCTTTTGCTCCTATCTAATGACCTTTTGCTTTCTTCATGAATGATGGTCTTAATGTCTTCCCACAGCTCATCAGGTCTTCTGTAATTAGTATTCAGAGCATCAAGTCTGTTGAGATGGTTTTGAAATTCAGGTGGGATAGACTCAAGGTAATAGTTTGATCCTTGTGGATTTGTTCTTTCTTCAGATTTGTCCTGAACTTACATTATGAATAATGGTCTGTCCAGTCAGCCCCTGGCCTGGTTTTAGCTGCTGATATTGAGCTTCTCCATCATGTCTTCCCAAAGGTGTTATCAATTTGATTTCTGTGTATTCTATCTGGAGAAGTCCATGTGTATTGCTTTTGTTGTTGAGAAAAGGTGTTTGCTATGAAGTCGTTGGTCTTGCAAAATTCTACTATTCAATCTCTAGTTTCATTTCTATCACCAAATGCATGTTTTCCAACTATTGTTCCTTCCTGTTTCCAACTTTTACATTCCAATCTCCAATAATTATCATGCATTTTGATTGCATAATAGATCAATTTCAGACTGCAGTCATTAGAATTCAATTTTTTTCATACTAGCTTTTGTGGTCCCTTTAAATTGTTGTGCTAGAGAAAAATATTGAAAAAGTATCATGGATTGCTAAAAAGATAAACCACTCAGTATTGGAAGGCAATAATTCTCCTTCAATGCAATGCAAGGATGGCAAGACTTACATACTTTGGACATATTGTCAGTGGAGAATATGTCCTGCAGAAGGACAGCATTCTTGGTCACTGAAGGGTGGTGAAAAAGAGCAATGCCCTTGAAAAGATGGATGGACCCCATGGGCTCAATGGGCTCAGGCATAGGGGCAATTGTGGGGAAAGCACTTTCCCATGCAGTGTTTTGTTCTGCTGGGCATCAGGTCACTGTGGGCTGGAGCTGACTCGATGCGTCAATACTGACTTGTATTGACTGGATTTCCTTCAATGCGGATAGATATAAGCCTATTACAAACAGCATCGTACTTTCTAATTGATTCTGCATTGTCTTCTTTGGCAATGAATGCCACACTTTTCTCTTGATTGTTATTCCTGGCATAGTAAATCATAATTTTTCTGATTCAAAATGGCTAATACCAGTCCATTTCAGCTCACTAATGCTGACGATATTGATCTTTATGTGCTCCATTCATTTTTGACCACTTCCAATTTTCCTAGTTTCATACTTCACACATTCCAAGTTCTGATCAGTAGATTTTTGTTCCTTTGAGTCATCCCCCATCAGCAAATGAAGTGAGATGTAATCAAGCCATAATCTCTTACGTGATAGACATTTTTGCCTCCTTGCCTGTGGTTACAATCCCATTTTGGAGGGAGTTCTCTACTACACTAATGAATAGGATCAAAAGGGGATCGATTCTGAGTCTCCACATTACTAGAAGGTGTGCATCAAGTCACACCCTGTTTCCCTGGGAGTGTGATCTACTTAAAGACAAACTATACCTCCATCAAAGCAATCCCATGTGTAAGAGCCATCTTAGAAGCAAGAACAAAGTAAATGTCCAGGACCTTCAGAAGAGCCCCCCAAGGAACATGTGTTGAGATCTCTGTCAGGGCATCTGAGGAGGTAAGAGGCTGAGACCAAAGCAGAAGAGAGGAGCAGTGCTGAGACTGAGACTGTGTTGGAAGCAAGCTACTTCCTGGCCCATGGATGCAGAAGCCAAAGAATCACCTGGCTGAGAGGCTGAAGACTAGAGAAATTGGCTACTACTGGCCAAGAAGTATTGCTGAGGACCAATGACTATAAGCCTACTGTTTACTGATCCTGATAGAGAGTAACCTGTTAATAAACCCAGCTGTGTTGTCTGCGAGTTCTCTGGCCATTGCAATGAATTATCAAATCCAGCAGTAAAGCAATGTGTTATGAGGTTAACAGATGGTATCAGAATAGGTAAAGAGGGGTGGCAGTATGTCTGAGCTCTGCTTCCTAGCAACAGGGAAGCCAGAGGCCAGATATGGTCTACCATGCCTTTTTCTGCAGGAAGAGATCCTGGTATTTGGTACTATAGTTTATAGATGTCAAAATTAAAAACAATTAACACATTTAAATTAAGAGTCTAGGAAAAACTCTGCTAATGACTCAGTACCACCCAAGGAGTAACCGGCAGTGTCCCCAGCAGAGTCAGGAGTTTAGTTTCAGCTGTGAGCCAAATGGTTAAAGTCCAGCCATTTTCCCTGAAGAAAGCTTGGTGACATGCCACACTTTCTTTTGCAAATAACACACCTACACAAGTAAAACAACAGCAGCACACGGCACTTATAAAAGAGGTGTGAGGGAGGCAGGTAAGCAGGAAGCACCATGTACTGGGGTTGCAGTGACAATATTCATGTTGCGTAAAAATACAGTACTTCGGAAAACTCTGCCATTGAACCCTCTGGAGCACAATAACACTCATACACACGTGCATTTGCCAGTTTTCTACTGAGGCAAAGAATGAGCTTAGAGTTGTTATATATCTAAGTCACACAACTCACCCTCTCATTTCTTTCATCAAGCGGTTTTTGACTAAAGAAAAGGTTGTCAAGATCTGGCTACAAAAAAATTAGTATATGATGTGTAAAATATTTATAAATCAGATTATTATGAATTTGATTAATACAGGCCTCCGCAACACATATAAACTTTGAGGCATCAATCGAAAAACTTTGAGACATCAATAGGAGGATTTCAGGACCTGCAAGTCTAGAAAGCAAGCTGCCAAATGGTAGTAAGGTTTATCAGGCTCAGATACCACCGTGCAAGGGCTTAGCTAGTAGTTTTTCCTTAGCTGCAGTCCTTCAACCTGTCACAGCTCTCTTTAAAGCAAAACGCTGAACTAATGACATTAACATTGGCAAGAATAAAACCAAATTAGACTGGTGGAAAGCTTTATTTAGCAGAAAACTCCTATGACAAGTACCTGAGAGAACTAACAGTTCCACTTTAGAATACTGCATCAGATACTTTCATTTAAATAAGAGGAGCCTTTAAAAATTTCATGGAAAAACTTCAATTATTTTTCGTTCAAATTTTCAACAAGCCTTGTCACTTCAGTGACACATAGAGGGAACTGTACTTTCAAAATTCTTGACAGATATCACGGCCAAGCTCACCTCTATACAACTAACATAAACCCCCTACTAGTTTGCCATCAAAATGTTAACGCTAGCTCCCTAGCTTGCACCATGTGTGCACACAAATGAGTTCAAGTCTTTATTCAGAACTTCAGAATCACGTTATCTAAACTTTAAACAAAACCTGGTGGCACAGTGTTTAAGCAGCTGGCTAACTGAAAGATCAGTGGCTTAACTCATCCGTGCCTCCTCGGGAGTAAAATGAGGCTGTCTGCTTCCGGAATTACAGCCTTGGAAACTCTATGGAAGCAGGGCAGGCCTCTGTCCTATACAGCTGATATGATTCCAAGTTGACTCAAATGGCAGTGAGCTTGGGGCATAATGGTTAAGCACTTGACTTGTAACAAGGTTGGCAGTTCAAACCCACAAGCAGCTTCACTGGAAAAAGCTCTAGTCATTTGCTTCTATAAAGATTACAAGCTAGAAAACCCTAGCGGTGCAATTCTCTCACGTGGGGTTGCTTAGTCAAAAATTAGATGGCACATAACATAACAGAATAAATAAGTTAACTCTAAGTTTGGGCTTAATTGGGGAGCCTAATCATCCTTACAAAATTACAAGCTTTTAATACTTCATTTTTGTAACACTTTAATATGTAAATCAGGGATTTTCTCTCAAGGATGAGGGAGGAATTTTGTATTCAAATTTTATTCATGGTTTTAAAAGCAAGCGGCTCATTTATATTAGTTTGTCAATATGCTGGAATCTATTATTCTTCTGAACGATGAATGTTTAATGAGAAAGCAAGTTCCTTCCAATGCATAAATTTAAATTTAACCAGAATCCTTAAAATCACAGGAATATTTTTAAAACATAAACAGCTACTTTACTGAGCTGCTAGCACATGCAAGTTATTTTTTTTATTTAAATGTTAAATATTGTTCAATACCATAAATATTTTGTGCTTTCTACTACAGTAAAAATAAGGTAATCCCCAGTTCGAAGCATTTAAAGATGTTAACTTTAAGAAAAAAGATTAATTTCCCTTCTAAATGCCCAGTGAAAAGCTGAACCTCAACATCCTTACCAAGAACATAAGAATAATTTAATGTTAACAAGTTCATACAAAAATAATTTTCACGTTCTTTAACTAAAGCAAGCAATGTGAAAAGAATGTACAAGCTTGTTTTATGCTTAAATATCTAGTTAACATCTAAGAATCATAACTTACAAATCTAACACCAAAGTATATGAAAATTCTGTAGTGCCTCATATGAGAGGCAAAATAATAAAACTCTACCAGTTTAGAAGGAACCTAAATACCAGTAATAATTAAATTCCCCATACTCTTTTATAATCTAAAACTTCAAAGCCATTGATCTTTCTCAGTGCTTTGAGTGAGCAATCAAAATATTCCTATTTTTAAAATTAAATTTTCTTCCTTCAATATGGGGCACAGATAGAATATTTTAAAAAAGTATTTTGCCCTACTCCTCTACATCCACAGACGTAAATAGTTAACGGCATGATCTCATGATGTCATCATTGATGCACCTTCTTCACCAGTAGCATCCTGGGAAATGTGAAGGTCTTCAAGCATCTCAGCCAGACTAATTCGAGGTGCTCCTTCATCATCCGTGTCACTTTCCACAGGGATGGTAGAATCTAAGGGGAAAAAATGATTTCAAATAAATACAAAGGCCTATATACCCCACCCTCAGTACTATTTATTTCTACTTATGTGTGATCTGAGACTTTTGTATCATATCTAGAGCGGGCATTTGAATGTGAATTGACTAAATGAAATGAGTAAGTGTGTGAACAAATTTCCAGTATAATACATAAAGGCTTAAAAAAAAGTTTATGGAAAATGGAATTGAGAGAGAATGGAATTTTTCCATGAGCTTTTTGAACACCTTCCTATATAAAACCAACAATTTAGGGGACCAAATTCAGATGCAAATAAAACCAAATATGGAATAGAAAATAACAGTTTAATGCTTTGCTGCTTTACAAATATTTTTAGAAAAAGTTCACTACAAAATAGTTAAGAAAAACACAATTTGTTAATCAAAGTTATTAAGATACTCATGCTGAGGTATTCAGATATAGGCAATCAAACATTCTTCAAACACCAACCTCGGTAAATATTGATATTTTTCCTAATTGTTTCATCTTCTTCAAGATCTTCAAGAAAATCTTGATATTGCCTACAGGATATAAAAACATTTAAATACTTCATTATAACAAGAAAGTATAAATTATATTTTCTCTAATTTGGGCATTTTAAGATAAAAGTGCGCCAAGTGTTAAGCTATAAAAAATACTATCTGTAGTTCAAATATAAACATTAGATACACTGGCATAGGTTAAACTTTTTAAAAATTACTTATTTTAAAAAGCTTATATAGCTGAATATAGTGATGTTAAATGAAAGGCAATGAGAAGATTCTCTACTCAACCTTCCTCCTAAAACAATTTTATGGCCAAGTTGAACATGCACTTTCAAAACTATAAGTAAATTAGTTACATACATGCCTAATACTGATGGTATCAGGTATAATATGTAACTATTTAAATTAAAATAAAATTGTATAAGTTTATGAGGGCTTCAAAAGTTTTATGAAAAAAATGGGATTAAGAGAAGATATTTTGCAATCAACTTTTTGAAGCCCACTCATAATATATAATCAGTAGTCTTTCTACATGCATATCTACATTTAATTTTTTTATTCAGAAGTCCAAACTCCGTTATTTATAAATTTCTAAAGCAACCTGTTATAAGAGCAGAAAGCTAAATGCTCTATCTCTGTAGGACATTGAAACCCTAATGCTTTGTCAGAGAATTTCCTGAAGGCGCCAACACGTTAAAGAAGAGTGTAACCTTTCATCATCTGTGTCCACGTTTTCTCTCTCTCTTGCAAGCTCTTTCAGTTTCCAGTTTCTGCGGCGCTGACGTTTGGTGCGGTCATAACTTTTCTTGATTAGAACCTAAAGGGAACAAAAGCATTTGCAGAGTTACAAGAACTCCATAGTAAGGCCTCAAAATCCATTAGTTAAAAAATTAAAGGTTACAAGAAGGTCAGGGCAAAGTCACCAACTGATGTGTGTAGTAACATCTCATAGGAAAAGATCAAGAGGTGATGTCAAGACTTTTTCATGTACGTGTTAGGTTATTGTTAAAATTCACCAGTTGAACATTTTCAGTGACTAAAAAACAAGATCATTAAACAAATTTCAGTTTAAGCTATTTCCATAAATCATGCTGAAAGATTATCCCAAGCACACATCTTCTCTTCTTTTTTCCACTAAAAAGCACTCACCAGACTACATGTCCTTAGCACAGTGTTCAGTAAGTAATTAAGAAATTAGTAAATAATTTGATAAAATAAAAGAAAATTCAGAATCATGTCAATCTCTTCCTCTACCCTAATTACAGATCTGTATTTAGACTTACACAAAGGCATGCTTCTATTCATAATTTACAGAGAGATGAAAGCACAACTGGATGGTGGGGAGAGGGCCCTTTTCTTACTATAACTTCATTCCCCTGCACTGCTAAAGAAATCAATGCTTCTTAAAAAATATTAAATAAACAAGTAGGAGAGGAGAGTCTTTCACACTGATTTCATATAGACAGTTGGTCATGAATCTTATAAGCTCATGTTAGAATTTAACAGGTTTCTCAGAAGTGATTTTCTCCAAGACTTGATGCTGTACAGGTAATTTTCAACACAATTAAGTTCAACTTTGACTCATGGCTTTAACTCTAACTGTATTCTTCACTGAACACTACATGAAATAAACTGAGGTTAGTCAGAATTGATCTGAAGAAATTCTAAAGATCAAGAGTGTTAGCTGCGGAATAATTTTTGTTCTACAGGTAGTATCAGGCCTTTTAACAGAGTAAAAACATGATTATATGAGTAACAAAAGAGCTCAATGAAATTTTTATTCATCCCAAGAAAAGCAAACATTTGCTACTACACTGTAACTGCAATTTCAAAGAAAATGTATTAAGTTCAAAAATATGAATTCATGCATCTTATCCATAAGAGTTCTATCAATCATCTATAGATATTTTAAAAGGGAAAATCTACAGCCTTACCACATCTGGGATTCGATCGGGGTTCATTTTGTTGACATGCTCATCATTCAAGTTACAGTTGGCTAAATCAAACCTGAAAAATATACATGCTATTCACTATCCAGGGAATACCCTTGTTTAGTTCACAGTAAAGATAATGCTGCTCTGGGTTTCGCACATGTCCACTGTCCCCTTTAACATATATTCGAACTCAGATGACTGGCTTCATATTGTATACCAAAATCTATCACTCTCTAGTAGAAGGAATAAAAATTATGAACACAAACACATGTTTAGAGGATGCTGACAAGCTCTGAAGCAGCAGAGACTGTGTTGCACTATAAAAACCCTCTGCATGTATGGCTGCAATTCAAAACAACAGCATAGTGGAGCAGTGCCATATGCACCAAAAACCCCTCATCTCCACCCTCCCCCCACAACCCCGTGGGGGAGGGGAGGCACGGGGGGGAACAGGGGAAGACACCCTGTAAATGTTTATTAATCTAAAACACCAATTATACAAAAACTTGAAATAAATGATTCCTTTAAGATTATGGGTAACAACGGAAAACTAAAGACTTTTGCCCAATCCATGGTTTAATTTAGTAATCAGTAATAAAATGAGTTTAAAAAGCTTCTAAGGGCTGCTAAATTCTTTTTGAAATAACAGTACAACTATTTTAGGCAGCTTTGCTGGCTCCCATAGCAAATCTTCAATGCTAATCAGCAGTTTAAAACAGTATAAAGTAATACAAACCCCAGCACCAGGTCTCCAGGATTTAGAAGATGTCCCAAATGTGTGCGACAAAAGTACTGTTTATCTGTATCCATTTCAGAGGTTTTCTGTACCCAGACTTCCCCAAGGGTGTGCTTATTAAGAAAGAAAATAAACTAATGTTAACTCAAAAAGCATGGCACAGAAATATACAATATTGATTCTAGAGGTTCATAAACGTCATTATCAATTTTTTGCTTTCCAGACCTCTGAAATATCTTCAAAATTAACAATTTACTGACCTATAAGTACTGAATAAACTAACAAGAAATTCATAAAATAAACCACAAGATTTTTGTTAAGACTTTTATAAAACATTAAATTACTGATATAATATTACCTAAAAATAGAAAGGGGATCATTTTCAAAAGTAATGCTCCCATGGGGAAATGGGGCAAAAAGAGTAACCAAAAGGAAAAGGGGTTGTGGATTGGTGTTGGACATATGGGCTAATGTTGGACTTGTGGGCTTGGGCAGCACTGGGTTGGGATGTATTATTGATGTGCACATACCCTTTATATAAAACTCTCTCTTATACAAAAAAAAAAAAAAGGAAAAGGGGATTTCAAACCCAGGAAATATTCAAAGTAACTCCTTGTTACAGACAAGGAAGAAAAAGCCTGGGTTCAGACAAAGCTATACAGCAATACTAGTGCCACACACTCATATCTTTAAAGATCTCAAATCTTTATCAAATTAGTTTTTGAACACTACTAGTTTAATTAAAAAATTTTAACTCTTTTGTAAAAACTACTTCCTACACAATCTGACACCTCAAATACCCAGGCTGGATTCACTATAGAACAAGTCAATACCTTTCCCAAAGGCAGACACAAGTAAAATGGGACTAAGAACAAAATACTAAGATACAGGCAGAATTATGAACCTCAAAAAGAGATGAAAAAGTAGAGGTAAGACAGAACTGAAATTAAAGATAGATCCTTTATTAGAAAAGAACCGAAAAGGAAAAGTGAGTTACCACGGAGAGATGATTCTATATAACAGGATTCATATTCTAGTTACTAGATTGCTTCTAACTAAATGATCTTTAAAATTGTTCTGTTCTAGGCTAAATGCATTATTAAGAAAAATAAGAACTTAGTTTCATATCTGAGAGGTAGTAGTAGTATTCAATAATTATTTCTTTTTTTTTTATAGTATATATTTCTATATGTACTATGTGATAAAAATGTTCTTTAAAAATACGTGTGTGTGTTAAATAAATATACAGAAAGTAAGGAGAAGCCCTGGTGGCACATTAGGTTAGGAGTTTCACTGCGAACCTCAAAGTCAGTCATTTGGATTCATCAGCTGCTCCGCAGGAGAAAGATGAGGCTCCCATAATGACTTGCACCCTTGACCCCACAGGGGCACTTCTACTCTGTCCTATAAGGTCACTGTGAGTTGGAGTCAACTTGATAGCAGTGAGGATTTTTTTTTAATACAGTTTTCCACATTATCAGAAGCTATTTTTGTCTCAAGAGGCAGTATTACTTCAGTTGCAAAGAATACTTCTATGACTCAGGTTGGGGTCTGTAAATATTATATTAAACAAGTTCTAGGAAACAGGATCATAAATACCTAACAGCAGTTAAGGGGCAAGAATAAGAAAGGGTAATTCTGTAAACTCTTCCTGTGTCAGGGAGTAAGCCTGCTTTCAAAGATAGGAAACTCATGTCAAAAGGACACAGGTACATGGCATCCCACTGGCTAAATTCACGTAAAATGAACATTTTTTTAAAAGATGGAAGAAATGAAGGGAGGAAGAAAGGATAGTAAATACCTAACCTTTCATGAGACCATAATGATAATTAAAGAAAAGAAAAGAATGCCAAAACACAAGAGCAAGTCTAAACTAATTTCCATTACTGGAGAGGAATTACTTTGAGATAAACTTCCTACTGAAAATGGGTGCTAACAGAAACGGAATACAGAATTTGTCCAGCATTCTTCTTTACTCATTTACAAAAAAGTCCTCCTCCAAATTCACTATTGTCCTGTCAATTCTGAATCACAGCGACCCTCCAGACAGAGCTGTAATCTACAAAGTACGTAGAAAGTCCCACCCTTCTCCCATCAAGCAGCTGGTGGTTTCAAACAGTTGACTTTGCAATTAAGCGGCTAAAAGCCTAATTCAATACACCACCAGGGTTCCTTTCTTCTTTATTTAAGAATGCCAACTAACAAGAATGTGTGTG